GGGAGGCTGAGGCAGGTGGATCACCTGAGGTCAGGAGTTCGAGACCAACCTGTCCAACATGGTGAAACCCCATCTCCACTAAAAATACAAAAATTAGCTGGATGTGGTGGCGAATTCCTGTAATCCCAGCAACTTCGGAGGCTGAGGCAGGAGAATCACTTGAACCCGGGAGATGGAGACTGCAGTGAGCCAAGATGGCACTACTGCACTCCAGCCTGGGCAACAAGAGCAAAATTCCATCTCGAATAAATAAATAAATAAAGGAAACACATAAATGAGATCATAGCTGGGGCAGAAGAGGGAACTGAATCAAGGCCTGTGGGCTGTTTTCATTTCTACCGCAGCATGCTTGTACACTCAGAGTGATCCTGATCAGCAGACAAAGCAGGTGAGGTAGGAGAGACCATAGAGAATTTCTGGCGTGAAATCCTTGAGAAGGTGAAGTGTAGGGACAGGGCGACCAAGTGAACGGATTAGCTTTAGGTCGGAGCACATGGGACAGTTTAAGGCCTCACTGCATTCTTGGCAACAGAGTGATCGCTGAGGTTAATTTTAAACCCACAGCGTGTGAGAGAGGCATGTCTTTGGAATGTGTTATTACTATCAGAACACAGTTAGCCCTCTGTATCCGTGGGTTCCGCACCTGTGGATTCAACTCACCATGGATTAAAGATACAATTTTGTAAAAAATTCAATCTAGGGTGGAGGGAGTAGAGATAGTTAGTGGGTACAAAAATATATTTAGATAGAATGAATAAGATCTAGTATTTAATAGCACAACAGCGTAGCTGCAATCAACAATAATTTATCATACATTTAGAAATAACTCTAGGAGGCAGAGCAAGGTGGCTCCCGCCTGTAATCCCAGCACTTTGGGAGGCCGACCTCCAAATCAAGAGGTCAGGAGTTTGAGACCAGCCTGACCAACATGGTGAAACCCATCTCTACTGAAAATACAAAAATTAGCCAGGCATTGTGGCGCACACCTGTAATTCCAACTACTCATGAGGCTGAGGTAGGAGAATAGCTTGAACCCGGGAGATGGAGGTTGCAGTGAGCCAAGATTGCACTACTGCACTCCAGCCTGGCAACAAAGCAAGAGTCTGTCTCAAAAATAAATAAATAAATAAATAACTGTAGGAGTATAATTGGATGGTTTGTAACACAAAGAAAGGATAAATGCCTGAGGTGCTGACCACTTCATTTACCTTGATGTGATTACTATGCATGGCATGCCTGTATCAAAATACCTCATGTACCCCATAAATATGTACACCTACTATGCACCCACACATTTTTAATTAAAAAAAGAAAGCTACAAAAAAATCTATACTAAACATGTACAAACTTTTTTCCTGTAATTATTCCCTGAACAATACAGTGTAACAGCTGTTTACACAGCATTTACATTAGATATTATAAATAATATATATTCCAACATTAATTTATATTATACTAATAAATAATGTTAGAAATAATCTCAAGATGATTGAAAGGATACAAGAGAATATGTGTAGATTATATGCAAACACTGCCTCATTTTATTTCAGGGACTTGAGCATCTGTGGATTTTGGCATCCACAGGAGATCCTGGAACGAGTCCTCAGGTATACTGAAGGACAGCTGTATTCACTTTGAAATGCAAGTATGCATTTGAGATATGACATAAAGTGAAACATTAAAATTTCATCAATAGGTTAATAAAGCAATTATTGATTCTTATAAAAAATATTGATTTAATATCCAAAAACAATTATTAAGAACTTTCAAATATTGAAGCACATAAGGAAATAGATTGACAGTTTACATGAATATTGAGAGCTTTATAACTTTGGGAGAATATATCCTCTTTAAGCCAACAATGTATTTAAAAAAGTTAAAATATAAAATATGTGTATAAAATATGTAAACATTTTATATCATATGATGTACAAATTTAAATGTATAAGTAATAAATATATATTAACATAAAGATTATGTTGTCATAATTTTTATCATTTTAGAATTGCTTGATGAATATCATTTATAACACTAAACAACATGCGTGCCTTTTATAAATCAAATTTATTTTTATTATTTAATATCACTCAGGCCATGAATCTTTGAAGAAAAAGTCTCCTTTGAAAAAAAAGTATTCTTTTCCAAAAGAGTAAGGATATCAGTATCCTTCTTCTTGCCCAGGCTACAGACCTTTCCATTCCCCTCAATTGAGTACGGAAGGCAGAAGTGAAACTTGTTTTTACAGCAGCTGCATCTATAATAAATCATTTTCAATTCAGACAGAACAAAGAACAGGCAAAGTACAAAGATAAAATGATAGTGGTAGGCAATAAATAGGCACGTTATGTTCTCACTAATCTAACTTCAAAGGACAGACTTATAATAATACTTTTAAAAGGTAATTTCTTATAGCTTTGAGTCTGTGGAGACTAAATAAAAAGCTTCTCAGAATAATTGCTATATCCTGGTATTTTCAGTAGTTTTTTGGCTACCAAAGAATTGTTTAAATCTGTCTAAGTTATGTCTCCAAGGTACAAAACTCCTTCTACAAAACATGCTACTAAAATATGTTTTCCTGACTTATATTTTACTGTGTATCAGTTGGTGATATTATTAAATATCCATGTCTTATATCAGATATTTGGATATGCAGAAACAAATAGAAGTTGCCTTAAAATTTGGTACAGTAGCTTAATGAAAATTTTAACAATTCTTCCCCTTTATTCTTTGCCATGATTTCTGAGTATAGCACAACAATCCAAGAAATAGTTATAAAAAATTAGGAAATAAAGTTGCCATGCAATTGTCATTGGCAAAGAAAAAACAAACATGGCTAAGGCCATAAGTGGCTTAGGAATTACAAATGTATAATTGCTTCATTCATGACTTTTAGCTCTGCATTTAGAAAGAAATTTCAGCACAGTTTAAGGTAGGGGCTCTTCAGCCAACATCAAAGTCCGTGACATACAAAAGATTTTGAAACTCTCTTATCTCTTTATGCAAGACATTCAGAAAGGTTGAATAGCAACTAATACATGCTTTTAAAAAAAGCGTAAGCAAAAAAAAAAAAAAGGCTTAATATTATGCTTTACAGAGAGTAACAGCAACACAGGCCTTATAAGCAACTAATGATTTATTTGCTGAAATTTGCTAAAGAAGTAAACCCAGTGATATGGCCAGAGAGAAGTTACCCTTCCATGACACCTGATGAAAGACACTACCACCTTTCTGTGGAAATGAAAGCTGAAATGCACATAAAATTTCAGAGATTTTTTTTTTTTTTTTTTTGAGATGGGGTCTCGCTCTGCCACCCAGGCGGGAATGCAGTGGTGCAATCTCGGTTCAGTGTAACCTCCACCGCCCAGGTTCACGCAAGTCTCCTGCCTCAGCCTCCTGAATAGCTGAGACTACAGGCACCCACCACTATACCTGGCTTATTTTTTTTTTTTTTTTTTGTATTTTTAGTAGAGACAGGGTTTCACTATGTTGGCCAGGCTGGTCATGAATGCCTGACCTCAAGTGATCCACCCACCTTGGCCTTTCAAAGTGCTGGGATTACAGCCATGAGCCACTGCACCCAGCTGATTTTTGTCATCTTAAAGTCCAGGTGCATTACTTCATTGCTATATGTTTGAATTCAGTGTTTAAGAGGACATTACAGATGGATATGTTGCATGGTTGTTGTTAAGTTTAGATGTTGCAGATGTTACATCTTAATATATAATTTGTACTCATGATCATCACGATTATTAGTTCTGCTTTCCTCCTTTACACTACATTTTCCAGAGTTCATAGGTTTATCACTACATCCCCAGACAATAAAGTTTTACGTAGAAATGTGGACGTACCTGACAGAATTTTCTTCCATTGAGATAGTCATTCAGACTAGTGGGAGAGAAGATAATCTGACACCTTTATCTTCATTCCAAACAGAGGGTTCTCTTCCCTCTGGACACCAGATTACTTACTAAATTACTCAAAAGCCCTAGGCACTATATTTAACAGGTTGATAAGATTTGGTTATAAAGCATTGGTTTGAATTTAGGCCAAGTGCTGTGTTTTGTATATAAGAAAGTGCTTGGTTCCCAATGGTACCATTTTTTTTCAAATGGTACCACTGGCTTTCAGAGTGATTGGGATATTCATGTGTGTGTGGCTAATCTAGCTAACATCGACCCACTATCATTAGTAGCCTTGACTATAACCAGATAGACAGGGAGTAAGAAGACACAGAGGACCCTGTGCTAAGCTTTGTTGTCACACGTGATGTCTGAAACAAATGACCAAATTGCTGTTCCTTCTCTGATTGGATGTGACACACAGGCTCACATAGTTGAAGGGAAATGCCTAAAGGCATTGCTCATTTCCCTCTGCTTTTCCCTACTCCTACATATACAGAGAGAAAGAGAGAAAGAGAGAGGACAGAGACCAAGAGTTTGCCCATGAGTACACACAGTACTCTCTGGCATGGGGAAATCAATATCCTTACTCTTCCCCAGGCTACAGACCTTCCCATTCCCCCCAATTGAGTATGGGAGGCAGAAGTGAAACTTGTTTTTATTTTATTCACATCTACTTAATGATTGATAGTCTTAACATAAATGCTCTTCCCCAAAAATGACTTACAGATGAACTCCAGTAACCCAAAAAATGTGTTCAGACACGGTTTTACAGCATTGGCTTGTCTGTAGATTCGATGTCTGAGCCACTCACCATCTTCTCAAACAAGATGACCTGACAAGAAAAGAAAGATTGATAGTGGGAAAGGTGAAACGTATTTAGTACAGGATGAAACAGACACTGCAACTCACATTGATCTGAAAGTTTATGAGATCTCAAGGCAGAGATTAGAGTGACACACCTCATTGTCTTCTGGATGAAGCCAGGCTCCAGGAAGGTACAGTGTTTTCTGAGGCCCAATATTCCAATATCGCCCAAGGTTACGTCCATTGATGAACACGAATCCATAATTCCAGTTCTGAAAGGAATGGTGGCTTGAGATGCAGAAATAGGTTCACATTAGCAAGGTAAAACCTAAGGCACTTGGGGAGTGAGACCAAGACTGAGACACTTCATGGCACTCAAAGGGAGGTGAGTTTAGAGTGGGATGTGATCTGGAACTCCTACCTTGCTGTCTAGGAACGAAAGAGAAAAACATAAATAGAACTAACCCTTTAATGGTAAGGCTGCTGTTGCTTCTGTTATGTGATATATAATGTTATATATTTTAAAGAGCAGATCTTCTACTTCTAGAAATAAATACTAGGTAATACTGATGAACACCACTGCTGACAGCAGTTATTAATATAAAAGCTGCACATTTTTTAAAAATCTACTTGCAATGTAATGAAGAATTACAGAACCAAGATCTAGAAGAAGAAAATGGAAAGACAAGAGACATCCAGGCAGTTTTTCCACTAGAGGCACTTGCTTATTCTGGGATATAACAAAAAGGTCTAGTGTGTAAAATTGGACTCCCTGAAATACTCAAAATTAAAGGCCAAATTTGCTGAAGTGGATTTCAAATAAAGTAGTTATGTGCTATGTATAAGAGAATCATCAAAAACATAAGGTATTGAAAAAATAAAAGAAAAACAATGGATAAATATATGTAAATCCTAACCAAAAGGAAGTTGCTATAGTTCTGTTAATATTCAGAAAAATAATGCTTTAAGGCAAGAAGCATTATTAGAGATAAACAGGAACATTTCATGACGGTAAAAGTCTTAATTTACCATAAATCTACATATAACATACATAAGGAAAATAAAAGCATAGATTCAAAACATATCAGTGAAATTGACAGAATAATAAACAGAAATAATTTTACAACCATAGTGGGAAATTTTATACAATCTTTCAATAGTCAATAGGCAAAGCAAATAAAAATAAAGATATAAAACATTGGAAAAAGATGATTAACAAAATTGAATGAATTGTCATAACAGAACATTGATTTAACATCTACAGTATACACACATTCTTTCAGGTATACCTCAGAATATTTGCAAGCTGGACCGTGTGTCTTCACATAATCTTCTCAGACTATAATGCAGTTAAGCAAGAAATTGATAAAAAGATAACTGTAAAATGTCCAAATTCTTGGAAATTAAGAAAAGCACTTCTAAATAATCCATAAGTCAAATGAGAAATGACAAAGGAAGTTGGAAATATTATAATTCATTGATGATGACAATAAAATACATAGAAAGTTATAGGGTCTAAGACTATCAGCAGATTTTTCAGCAGAAACCTTGCAGGCTAGCATGGAATGGACCAATATATTTAAAATGCTGAAAGCAAAACAACTGGCAACCAAGGATACTACATCCAGCAAAATTGTCTTTCAAAAATGAAGAAGACTTAAAGACTTTCAGACAAAAACTGAGGGAGTTCATCACCACTAGACCTGCCTTACAAGTCTGCCTTACAAGACTCAGGAAGTTTGGCCCTAACCTGCAGGAAAATTTGCTGGCCTTCTCTTTTTTTGCCTGCCAGCTCCTTACAAAAACAAAAAATGCTAAAGGAATTCCTTCAACTTGAAAAGAAAGGTCCTTCAACATTACCAAGAATGCACAAAAAATATAAACTTATTGGTAAAGATCATCAAGTTTCTCCCCAGCAACAACATGGTCCCCAGAGTGGTCTGCAGCTTTCGAACAGTACTGCCAGGATGTCCAGCACCTCAGGTTGACTACTACCTGCCAAATTAGCACCTTCAGCCTACACTACTTCCCTTAATATGGGAAGAAACACAGCCCTACTATAGCAAAGTTCTGGTCCCAGGGAAGCTTCTCAATGTCCCCGAAAACATGGAAGTTGTCATTATGTGCAAGTCCTTGTGAAACATGTGACCTTCAACAATCCACACAGCCTATGAAGGAAAAGTGACATTCCAAATTAAAATTTAGAGGTGAAAGAGGAAGAATATGTATTTCATAATTCCTGGCAGACTCAAGAAGATTGGCCCTAACCTGCAGGATAATTTGCAGACCATCTCTTTTGTTGGGCTTAATTTGCCTGCCAGCTCCTTACAAAATCATCCTTAAGATATTCTAAAATACCAATACTGAAGTCAATTTGATACCTTCAGAGGACCACCTACACGTGAAGTGTTGACCGTTAGTATCAGCTGTTTCTTATGAAACATTTATTATTTTTTAGATAGAATCTGTAGTTATGATTGAAACGTTAGGCTAACATGGCAACCCTAAAGCAGCAGCTATCCAACTAATAAGACCCTAAAATGATTCATCTCTTTCTATATAGACATCACTTGTCTCACTACAACTTATTTTTTCTGTATTTCAATATGAACCATTACCCATATCATAGAAAGTATAATACAAAAATTCATGATGCACTGATATGAAATATGGCTTATAATTACACACATTCTGAATTCTTACAGAATGTAATTCCTAAGTCATGAAAATCAAATATATTAAATTTATTCTTATTCTACGTAAAAAAAAAAAAAAAGAAAAAGAATGGGATTCATTTCCAGTGTAAGCAAATCCATAAAGATAATAAAAAGATTGCGGTTGCTGGGGGGTAGGAGGTACGGAAAATGGGGAAATCATTGCCAAATGTTACAGGGTTTCCTTTAGGATAATGAAAATGCATTTGAACTGCAGATAGTGGCCTCACAGCATTGTGAAGGCACGAAATGCTACTTAATTGTTCACTTTAACAGAGTTAACATTATGTTATGCAATTTTACCTCAAAAAATCTTTTTAAAACTTACGGGACGCAACCAAATCCATGCTTAATTGATGATTCGTAACCTAAATTCATATAATTAAAAAGAATAAAGACTAAAAATCCAGTATCTAAGTATCTGTGTCAAGACATTATAAAAATAAAGCAAATTACTCCTAAACTAAGAAATTGAATAAACAAAATAATAAAGATAATGACAGAAATTAAAGAATCAGAAAAGAAATACATATATAGTAAGAGTCATAGCCAAACACTGCACTTTGAAAGATTAATAGAATTGATAGTGTTCTGGTCAGAATTATCAAGAAAAAACAGTGCATCAATATCCTATAATAAATGACAAGGGGAATGCTACTACCGATGATCTAGACATCAAAAACAAACATTTTAAAGGCAACATATTTAAAAATTTAGATTAAGTGGTAAAATTTCCAGAAAAATATATTTTCTCAAAGCTCACTTTAAAACAAAACATAAATAGTATTTTAAGCTTTCAGTAATTGAATCCACACTTACAAACTTTCTCAAAAAGAAAATGCCAGCTCTGAAAGCCTTCACCAATGAACTCCATTAAATGTTTGGGGGTTTTTGGGGTTTTTTTGAGATGGAGTCTTGCTCTGTAGCCCAAGCTGGAATGCAGTGGTGTAATCTCGGTTCACGGCAATCTCTGCCTCTCGGGTCCCGGTTCAAGCCATTCTCTTGCCTCAGCCTCTGGAGTAGCTGGGATTACAGGCACGCGCCACCATGCCTAGCTAATTTTTGTATTTTTAGTAGAGATGGGGTTTCACCATGTTGGCCAGGCTGGTCTTGAACTCCTGACCTAGTAATCCACCCGCCTCGGCCTCCCAAAGTGCTAGAATTACAGGTGTGAGCCACCGTGCCTGGCCCATTAAATGTTTAAGAAGTAATACTTGTCTTACACAAATTTCCCCCCTAAATTCCTTTATGAGAGCCCTAAACCTTGGCAACAAAACCTGACAAAGATATCTCAGCCATGAACATAAATACAAAAAAGTCTTAATTATTCATCATAGACAAGCACTCGATATCATCTAAGTGTTCAGAAAAAGTAAAATGGTTAAATAAATTAGGGTGTATTTACTAAAGGAACCCATTACAACAGTGAAAATGAACAAGTCACTGCAGCATCAATAAATGACTGAACCTCACAATGTTGAACAAAAGAAGACATATGAAAAAGAATATTCCCTGTACGATTCCATTCACAAAAAGTCAAAATAGGGGACACTGGCCTGGAGTGTTAGAAGTCAAGGTAGCAGAGACCTTTGGAGAGAAAAGGGACAGCGGTTGGGAGGGGTGTTCACGGTATTTTTAAATTTCGGTGATAACTACATGGTGCTCATTTTGTGATCATTTGTTGATCTGTACATTCACATTTTATATGTTTATGTTATTTATATATATTTATACAGAAAAAAATATTCTAGGTAAAAACTAACCTACCAACTCACCCCCCCAACACACACAAAAGCAAGTTGCAGAATACAGTACGTGTCACAATTCTATTAGTGTAAAAATAATTGTGTATGTGTGTGTTCAGACAAAGGCATATATAAAAATGTACCACTGTTGGCAGTGTTGAGTTCTGAGAAGCAGAGGCGAATTGGAATGGGGTGGGTTGGGAATCTTCAGGCTTTGCTCTCTCCCTCTTGTTATTGTTTGAATTTGTAATTGTTTTGATGTGATATTCTCTAAGTAATGATAAGTTAGTTGGACTGATCAATGTTGGAAGGTTTGGCTGGAGGTGAGGAAAGAAGAGGAAAAGAAGAAAGGGAGTATTCCCCAGGAACACTGGCTTTGCTTCAGGACCCTAAAAATAAATCGGTGTTTGAAACACCAGGGCAGCAGAGGGTGCCACCTACCAGCAGGCTCAGGAAGGTGTCCTTAGGAGAAGGGCCAGCCCTCAAGGTCCCACGGTAGAAGGCGGGGCCCGGGTGGCTGTCTGGGACAGGCCTCCAGGTGGCGGAGCGGAGCCTAAAAGGAAGGCCAAGCATGTGGGAGAGGAAGTCCCCTCCCCACCCAGTTCCCAGGACTGAACCCAGGTGGCCTGGGCCGGGCCTAGGAGTCTGTTTCAATGAGCTAGAGCAGACTAGACACGTTAAGATCGGAATCAGGTCGCTTGCTCCAGGACTCTAGTTCTGATGCTGAAGCACTCGACAGCCTGGAGTAAACCACTCAGTCTCTGTACCTTGGGCTCGTCACCCGCAGTGAGGAATGCGAAATCTCAGAGTTCCCTGATCACCGAAGTGTGCACTGGGGGCCGGCCGGAGCATACCTCTCAAAGAAGCTCATTTTCATCTCCAGGGAGTAGATGGTAAAACCCTCCAGGGAAGAGTTATTGATGCTCACAGACCCAGTTATTCCTGCAGATAGGAGGCAGGAAAGAGACTATGAGCCAGGACTGGGTATTCTCCAGCGTAGCGGACAAAGAAACGCAGATGTGTACGTGCCTTAGGACAGGGGCTCAGCCAGGAGGGCAAATGTTTGTCTGACCTGCCATGAGTACTGGAACTTTCCCTGAAACTCCCAAAAGGAGACTGGCCCTGCTCCAGAACAAGCCAGCACTGAACACCCTGGCTCCACCCTCTGGCCCTGGAGATCCAGGGAAGGCAAGACAAGCCTGAGGGGCAGACTTTGTATCTCTGCTCCCGGGGCCTGGGAAGCTCACAGCTGAGAGGCTGGTTTATCCCTCCCAACCCCAGCAAGCAGCCTGGGTCTTCGGGTCTGAGTAACTGAGGAGAGGCCACAGCCAGAGCCCACCTTTCCGCTCATTCTGTATCTGCCATGAAAAATTGACTCGTCCTTGATTCTCCACCAGGATCCTCAGGTATCTGCAGACCTGCTGGGACAGGCCAGTTTATGGAGACCAAGCAGCTATGGAGGGCACCTACCCTACAACCCTTTTTTTTCTCTGAGTTCCATTTGGAGACACAAATGGGAGAAAAGGAAACTCCAGAGCCCAGCAGTCTTCCCTGTCACCTAAGGACCCCCTTGTGTTCCTATTCCATAGTCAATCTTCCCTTTCCCTTCTGCTGATCCTACTGGGAAAGGCAGAGAGACTCAGCTATGCCTCTAGCCAACTCTAAAGGCACAGAAACCCAACCAGGGGCTGAGGACCGACCAGTCAGGGCTTAGTGAGGAAATCCCCCTCCCACTGCGGCATGCACGTGGTAGCTTCTGACGGGTCAGGGCCTAGGAGGCACTTAGGCTTCCAGCCCTGCACACCTCCTGCTACAGCTCCAGGTGAGGAGCAGGACCAACAGCAGGGGTGGAGAAGGGAGGCTGACTGTCTCATGACCAGGCTCTGTCTGCATTTGAGGGCGGTGGAGGGCGTCACCTGGCCTCTCAAATTACATACCCTGAGTTCAGGAATGTGCAGGTTCTGGTTATTCTCATTAAGAATCCCTATCATTGTCTCATCCAAAAACACCTGCAAAAGAAGAGCCAGCATCAGACTGCGACGCCCACCTGAAGAAAGGGAGAAGAGAGGCTGAGATTCTGGCAGCAGGAGGTCAGTATGAAGGCAGGGGCCAGCTGTGGTGCTCACAGATGGCCCCAAGAGATTCTCAGTGGTGCTAAAGCAGAAACCAAGTCTATTTGGCCTGACTTTTTATTCCCAATGCCTCCCATATAGTAGGTCATCAGAGAGCAACATGTGTCCTCAATCAACCACCCTGCCCAACAGCATGGGGAGGTGACGCATTTTGCTTCCCACACAGATAGCCTGCTCGCCCTACCTGTGCCATGTCGCGAGCGTGGGCACAGAGGCGGCCTCCGGAGCAGATGGACTTCTCATATAGGACAAGCCCGTAGGACTGGCCGCTCCCATTGTTTATGGGAAGGTTCTCCATGTTGACGGGCTGATGTGACCTGACTGGCTATGAGGAGAAATGGCAGGAGCAGAAGCCCAAGGGCTGAGCAGTCAGGATCCTCCTTCCTAAGACCCTGTCATGTGATGTGGTCCCACCTAATGGTCCCCAAGGGTTCTTTGAATGGGAAATGATAAAATACATGACATGTGATAATGTCTGTGCTTATGTCTCCACTGCTCAGGAAACTCAGGGGATTGAAGGGCATGGTGACACGGGAGCAATCGCTATAATCCTAAGAACTGATTAACAGAGGAAATAGCTGGGGCACAGGGGCTCACGCCTGTAATCCCAGCACTTTGCGAGGCCGAGGCAGGTGCATCACTTGAGGCCAGGAGTTCGAAATCAGTCTGGGCAACGTAGTGAGACCCCACATCTACAAAAAAGTTAAAAGTTTAGCTGGGCGTGTTGGTGTCCTCCCGTAATCCTAGCTACTCAAGAGGCTGAGGTGGGAGGATTGCTTGAGCCCAGGAGTTCAAGGCTGCAGTGAGCCACGATTGTGCCACTACATTCCAGCCAGAGCAACAGAGCAAGACCCTGTCTCAAGAAAAAAAGAGTAAATAAACTCTATTCTAAAATTGCTGAAGTCTAGCAATGAACTATGCGCCAAGAAAATGTTTATTTCATTAAATTAAATTGAGTTACATTAAATAAATTTAGTTTTTTTAGTGTACCAGTCACCACCTTTTCTCTAAAATAATGATAGCAGAGGTGAAACCAATGTGAATTCAAGGGCTACTGTTTCCGTTCCAAACAGCTTTCACCTGTCCTCAAAATAGGACAGGAAGGCTGATGGGAACGGACGAGCAGCAACCCAGGAAGTTCAGGCCCAGCTGCTGGCAAAGCATGGGCAGAAGCTGGTCTCCAGATCCCAGCCCGGTGGCTTTTCCTACGTGGATTCCACAAGGACCACAAAGTGCAAACAGCAGCATCCCCAGATAGGTTCGGCTGAGCAGGGACCCAGGATCCTCTGACATCCTGCCACCCTCCCAGGGACCCAGGATCCTCCAACATCCTGCCCCACTCCCAGGGACCCAGGATCCTCCGACATCCTGCCCCACTCCCAGGGACCCAGGATCCTCCAACATCCTGCCCCACTCCCAGGGACCCAGGATCCTCACGACATCCTGCCCCCCTCCCAGGGACCCAGGAACCTCTGACATCCTGCCCCCTTCCCAGGGACCCAGAATTTTCTGACATTCTCCCGCCCCTACCCTGCACACTGACTCCAAGGTCAAACCCCTCATGGTCCACCCAGAAGGAGCTGGTGGCTTTTGTCCCACAGTTCTAAATTTGAATGAAATGCAGATGATTTGTTTTCCCACTTCCCAATATAAAGTTTCCTGAAGGAATCCCCTACCCCATCTCTCCAATGGCCACTGCTCCTCCTGTGGCCAATGAGCACTCACCTCATTTAAGTAGGCTAGGGCATCCCACAGCGGGAGGAACAGCGAGGGCCTCACGGGGGGATATGCAGCCTTGGGAGTAAGTTTGGGTACTTGGGGCAGGGGAATTGCTGCAATGAAGATGGGGCACAGGGCAAAAAGTGCCTGAGATGACCACTGCCTTCTCTAAGCCCCCTCCCCTGTGCCTATCCAGCATGGCTTTTG